AGAGAACGGGGTTGGGAGAACCCCGTCTCAGCTACTTTAAAAAAAATTTTGTAGCCTGGGACCCTCAGAACCACTGCCAATCAGAGCAGATAATACTGACCTTGACAGACCAATGGCTTGGCTCAGTCTGAGAAAGCACTGTGTATTCATTTACTACAAAATGAATGAAAACTAACACTACTGTTGCATCAAGGATAAAATCATCAACACGTTTTGGATGGTATTATAGAGTCTTCTCTTCCCCCACCTCCATCAAGAGAAAGTGCTTGCAGCTCATATAGGCTGTTTGCTTTTGAGCAACACTTTTTAGCACCTACAGGTTTTTGCTTTTTTTCTTCAAACATCTTAGGCATCTGACATAAGCAGAATCTCCAGTTTTGTGGTCTTCTGAAGGGTGGGTGAATGCGATCATGAAAAACTGCAGACTGTACTCATGGTGAACAAGATCTGGTTGACTCTGAGTAGGGAGCAGACATTAAAGCAAAATAAAGAAAGCCATTTCCAAGCAGCAACAATTGTGAACACTGGCCTTGATTGAGTCACAAATCAAAATGGGCCAAATTCAACCATAATAAAACAATTAGAATTACATCACTATTTAATGCTGTGGTAAATTTATGCCAAGCCCTTCAGTTCGTGAAGGGAACCACTGCTGTTCCAATCTTATTCTTAGGAATGATGGATTATTCTTTGTGCCAGCCAAATGCTGAGGAGCAATTAAGCACATACCTTTGATGAACTGGGGCTGCCAAGGTATGTTTTGAGTGCAGTGGAAACAAATCCTTAAGATGAAAACAATTATGAGCCTCAACAGTTTTTCAACTGAAACACTGTACAGTGTTTCAAGTATTAGGGTGTGGAGTCCTGAGTGTAGGGTAGCTTGTTCTCTTAAAAAGGAAATATAAAGGGCAACTATTAGCTTTGCAAAACACAAATATTGCTCAACCCCAATACTGATTAATCACACTGTTTTATTTTTGAACCAGTAATGCTGTTCACATAGCAGAGTGGTCTCAGGTGAGCCAGGACTAGGAAAACTTTTATTTGTTTTACGTCAGAGCAATGACCAAGGCAGTCATTACAACTTTAATGCATGGCCATGGATTTCCTCTTAAACATTTATACTATTGTAACAACATACTGGGGAAGAGCTGAGGACAAGTGTGAGTACTGCTATTCTTAGTGATACAACTGGACAAGTTGAAAGGACATTCGGTTGTTGCCATAAATTGATGGGGGGAAAAATCCAAAGCTGTTTGAACATATAACAGGAAAATGGACAGTGAGAAGTATGAATCAAGGTAAACTTGAAATTGTAAAATGAGAAACGGAATGTTTAAACATCACACTCCTGGATGTGAGAGAACTGGCTGGATTAATGAGAAACGGAATGTTTAAACATCACAATCCTGGATGTGAGAGAACTAAAGTTGGCTGGATTAGGACATTTTCAGTCAGAAAATTACAAAGTGTTTCACTCTGGAAATGACAAACACAAAAGAAACAGAGTTGCTCTAATAGTGAGGCAAGATGTAGCATGAGCAATCAGGGACTATAATGCAAATTCTGACAGAATAATAACAGACTTCATGGAAAGCCTAGCAGTACAACCATCACTCAGGTTTATGCCCCAATTACAGATGCTGATGAGGAAGAAATTGAAAGCTTTTGAGCAAGTATTCAGGAAGAAATTGATCAGACACCTAAACAAGATGCGCTGATAATATCCATTTTAGGCAACCAAATAGACAATTGTGGGCATCACTGGATGGCCAATACAGTAATCAAATAGATTACATAATCAGAAGCAGAAGATGGAGAAGCTCTA